ATACACACAGACAAACACACACACACACTGACACGGATCTTTGCCCTCCGTGACAGCAGCAGTGCTTGTCATTCCTGTTGAACCACACACACACACAAATACACACACACACACACTGACACTCCCAGCTTAGCATAATTATTACCTTCCTTTGCTTTTACAGCATCGGGGTGCTGATGAGGGTTATTGAAAATTGAGTCAGATAGAATTCCTGTGTCTTCAGATAATTACAAGCCTGTAAATCTTCCCAGAAAATTAAATAATAATCTGGTAAATTCCTTAGGTCATAAGATAGTGGAAATGGTATGAATTCAGATATGTGATGTTAGGCTTGCACTGTGTAACCACTGCACTACAGTTAATTATTAGGGCTACAGGTYATGATCATGAGCAAATATGACCAAGTTGAACTGCGCCTGAGATTAAAAAAATGCCCTCTATCTTAATACTCACCATTTTCTCACTCCTAAACCACTATGTGATACTGTATTTCCTTGCTTAAAATGAAAAAGGTAGTCAGTAAACAGCACACAGATTCACACAAGTACCGTACAAAGTGATTTGCATATGCATTACACACCAAGACACAAACACAAACAGCAGCATGGAGAAGAACATATGGTCTTGACACACTTCAGTAGAAAATCTTCATGATTGAGGGTGTGTATATAGTTTGTGTGTGTTTAACAGATTGATTGTTGTCCTCTCTACAGTTCCAGTAAATGGTTTAACATTTTCTGCCCATTACAATAAAAAATATAGTATACTTTGTGCTCTTTTTTGCTCTTGTCTCTCACTGTGATGATAGGATTGTTACGAACTAAAACTTGGTAAACATCATTAAAACAARGCACCACAGTTTTTAGAGCTGCTGCCTCACTGCAAGAGGGTTGCGGGTTCACAACCCAGCTGGCATGTGTGGAGTTTGCATGTCCTCACCATGCATGCGTGGGTCCTCTTCAGGTTCTTCAGTTTTCCCCACAGATGAAAAAAAAACATGCATGCTAGTGCATGCTAATTAGTTACTCAAAATTTCAGCTAAGCAAGAGCGATAGTGTGAAWGTTTGTTTGTTTCTAAGTGGGTCTGTGATGGACTCTCCACCTGTCCAGAGAYTACCCTGCCTCTRGCATGAAAAACACTGGAGACAGGAACCAGTTCCACGATGAGCTTGCATGGAGAAGCAGGTCAAACAGTAGATATTTGAGGAATATGACTAAATAGCTACAAATAAGTACAAATAACATGATGAGGTGCTACATGCTTCTTCCAAAATAGCTAGAAAAAATGAGCAAAAATTAAAAATAAAAGTCAAACAGTGTATATAGCAGTATGACATTTTACTGGACCAGAGCCAAATAAATGTTTACATGTATATTTCTCTTCTGTAGTTAGAACTAAAATTGGCATCCTAAACAAAAGTTTCATATTCTAAATACTAATGAATCAGGCCAGTTGCCCAAAGTGGGGCCTGCAGGCCAAAACTGGTCACCAAACAATTTGATTTGGCCTGCCAGTAACTTCCCTAGATACTATAGGTTTGCAAGCCCATGCCATCCTTTGTAGAAACACTGTATGTCCACCTACAGTCATTCTATCCATTGACCCTATAAAGGACTGAAGTGCAGATAGTCTTTACTTGCAGTGCTTACTTTAACTTTGAATTATATTAAGATTAAGCATGAAATACAAGTAACTAAATTCAAGCACACATGTAGATTTTCATACTTTACAAAACCATAAATACTCATATTTTATCAATTTATGAAATGTTTCATTAACCCTTTCTGCACGAGCATTTATAGCAAACTTTCTCCTAGTGCACAGGTTAAAAATAAACAAACAAATAAATAAATAAATAAATAAATGGGTCACTGTGATGGCTGCTAGCTTATTCATAATATATAAAATGACTTTACTTGAAAAGTATTTGCATTTCATGTATTATTATATTTTGCCTGCAGCCCTCAGATTTTCATGTTGGCCCTCTTAGAGAAAATGCTTGGGCACCCATGATTTAGGCTAAAAGAAAAAAAAAAGAATGATTACAAAATGTCCAAATCCAAAGACCTTTTAAGCCCATGATTGTTGTAATCACAAAACAAGTTCAGCACAGTATTGTTTTTCTTTTTTTTTTTTCATTTAATTGTTTTGCTTATCAAATTAAAACACTTTTTTTTCAGTCAATAACTATGAATTGCACTTTTCTGTCAGAGACAAGATCCTGTTGCTTGGGATGATGCATTTGCTGCTYCATCTCGGAACGTCCTCAACATTCGCTACACCCTCCTGCCTTATCTGTACACGCTGATGTTTGAGGCACACACCAAAGGAAGCACAGTTGTCCGGCCACTGTTGCATGAGTAAGCAGAGACACAACAAAAACAGGATTTTTAGTACATTGTGGCTTGCAGCATTAGTTTGAGTCAGCTAACCAAATATATATTTATTTCTACCACTAAGTGACCAGAGTTTATGCTACAGTGCTTTTCGACAGTGTGCAAAACAATCACATGTAATTTAGGGATATAACAGAATATATATTGGTAATGAACATGGTGCAAATAACAGCTACAGGAAACCAGTCAAAGAAAATGTTCTGGTTGTGCATTTACCATCAAGGAAGATGAAAAAAAGAGTATTTTTGTATGACCTACAGTATCCTCAGAGTTTGAAGAGTTCAAGCTCAATTAGCAGCAACTTTTATGCAACTGTCTTCACATTTATCTCAAAGTTTATTTATATAGCACCTTTCACCTGAGTAGGGAGCAGTGTGGCAGCCTGTTGGCATGCTGAGGGACAACCACATATGATTTCATATAAAAAAGGTGGTTTGTTTTCCTGTCTGTTTCTGAAAGATTTACTGTCAATTTAAAATCAAGGAAACAAACAAATTGACACTTGGCATTTATTTAATTTCTCTATTTCACTGACCCCATATCAAARTGTGACCCTAAAATTGAGATGCACACTGAACTGTGAGTTATTTGTACCGTTAGACATCCATGTGTTAGTTAAATGAAATCAAAATAGAAAATGTTCATGCTCGTGTTTTAACATGACTGGGCAACACTGGATATGYTGATTTACACAGAACCACTTACTGTCCTATCATGTTACGTTTAAAGTGTGTTTTTGTTTGTTTGTTTGTTTTCTGTTTTACAGTTTTATATTAGATATGAATTTCATTTATTTATGACGTATTAGGCAAAATTCTCTGTTATAGCTGTTGTCTATTGTTGTCTATTGACCTTGAGAAAGGCACCAAATTATTGCTAAAATCAACTCAAGGCTAATCATATAGAGAGCTACAGCTGCACTTGGCAACTCCCAGATGAAAAAATTGTATGAAAACAACATGTATTTATTCATTTGAAGAGGCTCCTATAAAGTCACAGATGGTATTTAAAAAGCTGCCCGGATGAATCTGGCAGAGTTATTTGGCTTCTATCTTCAAACTGCTGAATTCTATTATAAGTATTTGAACAGTCGTTAGGGTTGAAGATGCATGACTGAGCTTTAGAAACGTTTTTTTTAAATCAGGCTTTATGGCTTCTTTTTTCTGCTTTTCTGCAGGTTTGTGAAAGACAAAGCTACTTGGGACATCCACAGACAGTTCCTCTGGGGACCTGCCCTACTTATCACCCCAGCACTAGAACATGTAGGTCCATACACTTGTGCACTATTCTTGTTTTTTTATAAACCCTTTAATATAAATATAATCAATTTGACAACTGTCTTGTGAGTAGATATTTTTCGTGCATGCATTTTTGTGATTGTGTTYCACAGACTTTTTCATATTTTCATTTCTGTCTTTTTGTTATTGAAAGGGAGTCAGYGAGGTTGAAGGCTATGTTCCTGATGCACGCTGGTATGACTACCACACAGTGAGTAACTCCCTAAAAATGATTGTAAAGACAGTTAGTTTTACCTAGTTTATTGTTGTTGTACTGAGAATTAGCACAAATCCTAGTTCAACAGCACAA